TCTTTGTAGTTAATAAACTTATTTTTTTGTTTGTTTCTAATCCAGTGTGTTTAAATTAAAGTGTCTGGGAAACTCCTTTGGGGGTGACATGCATGCATGTTATTTCTTTTAGGGCTGTCAAGCGATTAAAAAAATTAATCGTGATTAATCATGCTGTTAAACAATAATACCAATTATTTAAATATTGTGGATGTTTTCTACATTTTTAAATATATTGATTTCACTTACAACACAGAATAGAAAGTGTACAGTGCTCACTTTATATTTATTTTTCATTACAAATATTTGCACCGTAAAAAACAAAAGAAATACTTTTTTTCAGTTCACCTAATGCAAGTACTGAAGTGCAATCCTTTATCATGAAAGTTGAACTTACAAATGTAGAATTATGTACAAAAATATAACTGCATTCAAAAATTAAAAAATGTAAAACTTTAGAGCCTACAAGTCCACTCAGTCCTACTTCTTGTTCAGCCAATTGCTCAGACAATCAAGTTTGTTTACATTTGCAGGACATAATGCTGCCCCCTTGTTGTTTACAATGTCACCTGAAAGCCAGAACAGGCATTCGCATGGCACTGTTTTAGCCAGCGTTGCAAGATATTTATATGCCAGATGCATTAATTGAATTTCAATGAGGCATTAGGCTCCTAAGTGCCTAAATCACTTCTAAAAATGTGACAGGCTCCTAAGTCAATGACACATTTCTGAAAATTTTACCCCAGCCCTTAATAATAGAATCAGGGAAATGTAGGGCTGGAAGGGACCTCGAGGGTTCATAAAGTCCACCCTCCTGTGCCGAGGCAGGACCATCCCTGACAAATGTTTGCTCAACCTGCTCCATCCTCCAAAGATGGCCTCCCTTGGAAGCCTATTCCAGAGCTTAAATATCCTTGTAGCTAGAAAGTTTTTCCCAATATCTAACCTAAATCTCCCTTGCTGCAGATTAAGCCCATTACTTCTTGTCCTACCTCCAGCAGACATTGAGGACAGCTGATTACAGTCCTCTTTATAACATATTTGAAGACCACCAGGTCCCCCCTCAATCTTATTTTCTCAAGATTAAACATGCCCAGGTTTTTTTTAAACCGTCCTCACAGGTCAGGTTTTCTAACCCTTTTGTCATTTTTGTTGCTGTCCTCTGGACTCTCTCCAATTTGTCCACATCTCTCCTAAAGTGTAGCGCCCAGAACTGGACACAGTATCCAGCTGAGGCCTTACCAGCGCCGAGTACAGCAGGACAATTACCTCCCATGTCTTACATACAACACTCCTGGTAATACACCCCTGAATGATATTAGCCTTTTTTCCAACTGCATCACACTGTTGACTCACACTCAGTTTGTGATTCACTATAACCCCCAGATCCTTTTCAGCAGTACTCCACCTTGCTATAAAGAGGGATAGCTCAGTAGTTTGAGCATTGGCCTGCTAAATCCAGGGTGGTGAGCTCAATCCTTGAGGGGGCCACTTAGGGATCTGGGGCAAAATCAGTACTTGGTCCTGCTGGTGAAGGCAGGGGGCTGGACTTGATGACCTTTCAAGGTCCCGTTCAGTTCTAGGAGATAGGATATCTCCATTAATATTTAAAAAAAAATAATTTGCCAGCTATTCCCTTTTATACTTTATAGTTGCACATTTGATATTTCCTTCCTAAGTGTTGTACTTTGCACTTGTCTTCACTGAATTTCATCTTGTTGATTTCAGACCAATTCTCCAATTTGTCAAGGTTATTTTGAATTCTAATCCTGCCCTCCAATGTGCCTGCAACCCTTCTCTGCTTGGTATCATCTGTAAATTTTATAAGCACACTCTCCACTCCATTATCCAAGTCATTAATGAAAATATTGACTAGTACTGAACCTGCAGGACCTCATTAGATACGTCCTCCCAGTGTGACAGTGAACCATTGATAACTACTTTTTGAGTACAGTCTTTCAACCAATTGTGCACCCACCCAACTTGTAATGGTTTCAGCCAACGTTACTTGTTTTAAAATTCCACGTCACAATGTGTCTTTAAGATATTTATTTTGAGCAGAAAACAGCAAAACTTACTAGCTTCGTTGGAAGTTGATTGTCATTTTCTACAGCGTCTCTGATGGGACTTAGAGCTGAGGAAAAAGCTTCAAACCCTGATTCCGGAGTCAAGTCGAATAAGATGGGCACAGAGGCAGCAACAGCGTCTCGGAAGAACCTCACTTTGTCAATGTCCATGTCATTTTCTCCTGCAGAAATGGACGCCAGCTCCACAAATGTAGGAAGTTCCGTTTTGTCTGCAAGAAAAAAAAATCCAACAATGAGTGTGAAACAAGTAATCTAAGAATGCTCAAGAATCTACAAATAGTTTCAATCAAAAGCTGCAATGTCTTTGCCCTCCAACGCTGAAAAATCCCTGTTGTTGCTCCGTTTGGATATGCCAATTAAATCAAATGAATAAAATCTTAAATCTAGGAGTGGTCAGAAATTTTCCATCAAAACTTTTTTTAGAAATAAAAATGTGTTTTTGACTAAAAAAATTTTTTGTAGAAAGTCTGTTTTCCTCAGAATTTTTTTATTTTTGATTGGAAAACCAGAAACTTGGAACAATGATTTTTTTTTTCCATTTTTTAGATTTTTGGCAGTTTTCAACCACAAGTTTTTGGTTGCCAAAAGTCAAGATTTTTTCCGGGTTTTGAAGCTGATTTTTTTTCCCCTGGAGGAAAAAAACCCAACACTTTTCAAACATCTCTGCTCATTGCCATCAACAGTAAAAGTATCAGGGGGTAGCCGTGTTAGTCTGTATCCACAAAAACAACGAGGAGTCCGGTGGCACTTGATGAGGAGATGTCAATACCACGAGAGGGAAAATTGCTTTTGTAGTGAGCCAGCCACACCCAGTCCCTATTTAAGCCCAAATTAATGGTGTTAAATTTGCAAATGAATTGCAGCTCTGCAGTTTCTCTTTGAAGTCTGTTTCTGAAGGTTTTTTGTTGAAGGATGGCTACTTTTAAATATGTTACTGAGTGTCCAGGGAGACTGAAGTGCTCCCCTACTGGTTTTTGTATGTTACCATTCCTGAGGTCTGATTTGTGTCCATTTATTCTTTTATGTAGAGACTGTCCGGTTTGGCCAATGTACATGGTACAGGGGCATTGCTGGCACATGATGGCATATATCACATTATTGGTATTGACACCTCCTCATCAACTATTGGGAGTGGGCCACATCCACCCTGACTGAATTGGCCTTGTCAACACTGATTCTCCACTTGTAAGGTAACTCCCTTCTTTTCATGTGCCAGTATATTTATGCCTGTATCTGTAACTTCCACTCCATGCATCTGACAAAGGGGGGGGGGGTTGCCCATGAAAGCTTATGCCTAAATAAATCTGTTAGTCTTTAAGGTGCCACTGGACTCCTCGTTGTTTTTTTTACCAACAGTACAGGCACCTTCTCTGGCAGCTCACCTCTTAATGTGCTCAGAAAGTGCAAAATTACAAGTGCAACATGTAACATCTTTCCTACTGACCTTACAAAGCGCTCTGCTACTGGACACCTTATGACATATGTGGGAGAAAAATATTTTGCTCCATTTCATAATTCCCTACCCCAAACCAATGCCTGTCCAAATGTTCTTCACTACACATATAAATCTCCAGCAACAACCCCCGTGGCAGAGAGTTCCACAGTTTCATTATTAGTTTCCTTTGCTAAAAAAAGACAGAAATTACTGCAGAAAGATCTTGATTTTTTTCTAGCTACAGTCTCAGAACTTATGTGAGAACAGAACTCCAGAATTATCTTTAACATAATCTGATCTTCAGAAAGACAATGAAGGACCAATTATAAAATATTGCTGAAAATTTCCCTGTTACAATTCAAACACTTGAAAACTCACCATATGCATTACAATAACAAACCTACCTCTGACCCACTATGAACTTATGAACTCAAGCAAGTAAGGGCCACACCATTGGCCCTAATTCTTACTTAGCTTATAAATACTGGTCTAAAGTGCACCTTTTATGATGGTTGTGATCCAAGAGATAAAGTCTTTCTTTGCACACTCAAGAAGTTCCTTCAAGAAGTAAAGCACACTCTCAGGGATGTTACTCAGAGTATCTTTAACCTTTACAATATCATCAGTCATATAACCAAGAGTCTTGTCCTTGAAGTCCTCGTCTTCCTGTTAAAATACAGAATAAAGAACTGTTTTTCTTAGCAAAGAAATGAGACAAGCATTCATTTTAATTAACTTATTGTTTATGTTGCACTAGAAGCTGCACAAACCCAGAGAAAAAAAACTGTCCTTGCCCCCAAAACTTTGTTAACGCAGAGTTAAGGTTGCCCAGTGATGCCTTGCGCCCTTCTAGAATGTGGAGAATGGCCAAACTTACACCTCTGAAACATAAACCTCTGAAAACAAGGAAATCCAAAATTAAAGTACATTCCACTCCCACTATGCAACCTTAGCTCTGCTCCCTAATGCTGGCAACAGTTAATAAGATAATCCTGTGGGAGTCTATAAAAGTCTGCTCAGCCATTCACTATTGTGGATTTTTAGGACTGATCTACACACAAACATGCATTGGTTTAACTAACTCAGGTTCTTAGAACTGATTTAGTAATTTTGGTGGAAGTCTGTTTGTTGGACACTCTCATTTTGGAATAAAAGTGGTTGAAGTTGAGTTAGCTAAAGTCACTTTTGACTTGGCCCACTCTTATCCAAGAAAAGAACTGTTCACCAAATTAACTGAACTGGTTCTAATTCACACCCTTTGTTATTAATGTGACTAAAATTATTGTAAAAATGCCTTAGGCACCAAACCCCAAAGAGGGTTCCCAGGCCAGCTGTGAATCCCTGACAGAGATAAGTGCCTCCCTGCAGCCCTGACATAGGCACCTATCTCCAAGAGAGGGGCAGAGCCTGCACATACCCCTGTTGTAGGCATCTCCCACTGGCTAGCTTGGGTAGCTCCCCATTCGTAGGCACCTCTCTCTCTCCACTCATTGTACAAGGAGCTTGGGCACCTAACCCAGGCTATGTGGATTGCAGTGTTGTTCCTGTGATTTTCTAGGCACCTAAAAGTTCAGTAGCTTTGTGAATCTAGGACTGAAAGTCTGTGCAGCACCTAGCGCAATGGTGCCCTGATCTCTGTCACTCAGAGTCTGTGCAGCGTCTGTCCTGACAGGCCCTGATCTCAGGTTAGGGCTTCTAGCAGCTACATAATATAAACAATTTAAAACAAATTAATCTTGCTTATGCCATTTTTACATCACTGGAACTCCAGTAAAAAGAAGAACAGGAGTACTTGTGGCACCTTCGAGACTAACAAATTTATTAGAGCATATTCTTTCGTGGACCACATCCCCCTTCTTCGGAAACATAAAAAATGAAACATATATTGAGCAGAT